GGAGTAGACCAGGATCAACTGCATAGTGATAGATAGATNNNTAGATAGATTTTATATGCCTGGTCTATATTTTTACTGGGGCTAGACACACTTGAGCCACCAAAGTGTACAGTGCAATCATCACAAAGCTATCCACATGGTCAATATATAGGAAACTGAAAATAAGCTGAAGTTCAACCTTTCAGTCTCGTTACGTCATGAAACTCGACCGTTTCTCTACCTTGCTTAGTAATAAGGCTGTTAGACGGAAACATGCCAACAGACTGTTTCATTCAGAAGGTTGATGTAATACATATTCTCGATTCAGTGCCGGTGCAAACAATTTTCAGGAACCTGGTTACAGCCAACCAAATGCGGCACGAAGATGTACCGAATGAGCGATGGTGGTGGAATATCGAATGTTTAACTTTCAAGCCAGTGGGATATTGATCTACACTGCTTGACCAGCATTGCCCTCTGGGTGGTAAATGGGATACAAACCGTAGGTCGCCATAAGTATTGTTCCAACTACGCGTAATTCTATGATTATCCTCATCACTGGCTTAAGGGCAGAACTTCCAGTCCGGGAAAGATTGATGTAACCCCATCAGAATCTTAAACGGATTCCCTACGGTTAACCTATACGATATATAGTGAGGGAATTAAAAATGTACCGTTTGAAATAAATGCTGTCTTGCGGTATGAAAACAGTTTTTGAGTAGAAATTTGAAATTGAACAGTAGTAGTTGGAATAACANATTTTGGTTTCAGAGATATTGTAACACTAGACATAATCTACCTAAGTAGTCATTATTCTTTTGCATTACATGAGCATCATCCTAATACACGAATGGTTGTGGAGCAAAATAGTGCAATTAGCAGGAGGTATTCCTAATCTGTCGGTTCATACAACTGTTTGAATTTGTTCGATCAATCGTTTTCATCACGCATAAATTGAAATTGGAGTATTTTATTGATAATCAGTAACCAACATTAGATCACGGACTCAATGTCATGTGATGCGTTCCCTGGATTATGTATTTGGCTTGCCTTCTTCTTACTCTTTTATTGGATTCGACG